GGGGGGGGAATAAAAGTGTAACACTCAGAATAAGAGTTGGAGTCTGCTGGTGATCTTGATCCGATGCCCAGCTAATTGATGTTACCTTTCCACTTGGACTGAGGGCTCCCCAGTCGGTGTCACGGTGAGGGGCTTTACATCAATGTTTGATTTGTACTGAATGTACTTGTGCTTTGCTTTGCTGTATCTGTGGCGGTTTAATAAATGACACTTATTATTCTAGCAGAAACAGCCTGTGAGTGTTTATTCATTGCTCCGATCATTTCCCCGAACCTATACTTTGTTTAAGATAATTTCATAAAACATTTTCTGGAGTCACGAACAGGATATCGGAGGAGGGACTGAACAATGTTTAAAACAAAAAAGGAAAAAGAGATTAGGAAAAAGTTGTACCGGGATGGGAAGAAGCCCCATTCCAGTTGTTAGCGTTGTGTTTGAGAGGTGGAGGGGGGCACACCGAGCCTTGGAACGATTCTCTGAAAGCAGGTAGTCCGGGTGATGTTTTGATCGCTTTGCGGGCAATAGAGGTCAGAAAGAAAGCACCAGTGAGTGTTTATTCATTGCTCCGATCATTCCCCGAACCTGTACTTTAAGATAATTTCATAAAACACTTTTCCAAGCCAGTCTGACTGAATCTCCATGACAGACAAGCCCACAAACCCTAAACTTTCATCCATCCTGCCACTTCCTGTGCTACCACCCAGTCCCTGGGGAAAGCACTGTCCTGCTCTGTCCCCCAAAGGACTGGAGCCTCTAGTGGTTTCACCTCTGGCCAACATCTCCATCAGCTGCCTGGCATTAAAGGAAGTGCTGTATCCTGACAAAGAGTGCTCACTGGATCAACAAACTCAATGGGGACACCGTTTTGAGGATGAGATCAGAGGAAGAACTGCTGGGACCGACTTCCTGTTTGAAAAAAAGCATCCCTTTGTTTTTTTTTAGACATTTAAGACAAGCTTGAGGTGGAACAAATCTGACTGGATGATGTTGAATGCAGATTACAAAAGCTGGAAAGCCTTATCAACTGTTTAAGCTCAACAATAAACAACTGTGTCAAGTTCAAACGCAAAAATATAAAAATTGGCAGGTTGGTTTTCTTGGACTGTGAGGTCTCAGTCCCTGATGGAAGACATTTGCAAACTGAGGTGTACCGCAAACCCACCCATAGAGACCAGTACTTGCAGTTTGACTCCCATCACCCTCTGGAGCAGAAGTTAAGAGTCATTAGGACTCTGTACCACAGAGCAGACAGCATCCCCACTAACTCAGGAGCCAGGCAGAAGGAGATGATACAGCGGTGGTGGGATGCATCACAAACAATGATGAGTCCAGCTACAGGCAGGAGGTGGAACACCTGGAGAGCTGGTGCAAAGAGAATAACCTTCACATCAATGTGAAGAAGACAAAGGAGATGATTGTGGACTTCAGAAGGAGCAAACACACCTACACCCCCCTGAACATAAGAGAATCTGCGGTGGAAGTGGTCTCCAGCTACAAGTACTTGGGTGTACACATGAATGACAACCTCAGCTGGAGCAACAACACCACCAGCCTGATCAAGAAAGCTCATCAGAGACTCTGCTTCCTCAGGCGGCTGAGACGAGCTGGTCTGGGAAGCTCAGTCCTCACCTCCTTCTACAGGTGTGCAGTGGAGAGCATCCTGTGCTCCAGCATCAACGTGTGGCATTGATATAAAAATATATTTTACAAGGTTTTAAGTTGCCTTTATGCCTATTCAAACATATATTTTGTGTGTGTTATTTATAATCATTTAGACACTCTTTGATGGTTTGCAGAGGGACGGAGGGGGGCAGTGTATTCTCTTTAGGAATGCTTTATTAAAGCTTAGGAGTGCTTTTGGCAGTAGAGCTTTGGCCCGCCCTGTGGTCACGGCGCTCCGTTACTGGAAGGACATGTTTTCAAGGTCAGGTTATTGCCTTGGTTTTGCACAACATGTTTTTATGAGATACCGACTTTCTGTCTGTCCTCCTGACAACCATCAAACTTGTTTTTCACTGCTCTCACACGATCCGGTCAGGGAGGGGTATATAAGAAATGTAACGAACACAGGAAAGTTAGAAGTCTGCTGCGGACCACGCGCGAGGTGCCCAGCTGTGTTGGTGTGATTCCTGTCACTCGGGTCGAAGGCTTCCCGACCACGTGTCACGGTGAGAGGCTCTCATATCAATTTGTGTGTAGAGAGTGTACAAGTGTACATGTTTGCATGGCTGTTTTCTGTGGCAGAGTAATAAATGACACTATTATTTCTAGCAGAAACAGTCTCTGTGTTTCATTTCCTCTCGTGTGAATTATTGGGGCCGACCGTTCACGAACCTTTGTTAAAGAAATTTCATAAAACCTTTTTGGCGACGAGGATGGGATGTTATTAAAATAAATAAATAATTCTGAACGGCTGCACCATGTTCAAACGAAAGGAAAAAGTGTTGAGAAAAAGTTAAGAGGCCGCAGAGGTTGTGCCGGGTTGGGAGAGTTATCCAACTTTGGCTTTGTGTTTAAGAGGTGGAGGGGGACGCCCCGAGCCTTTGTGTGAGAGTTTAAAAACAGAAAAAAAGTTGATTCAGACGCCTGAGGAGGCGTGAGTGGAACAGAGAAAAAGTTGATCCAGACGCCTGAGGAGGCGTGAGGGGAACAGAGAAAAAGTTGTACCGGGATGGGAAGAAGCCCCATCCCAGTTGTTAGTGTTGTGTTTGAGAGGTGGG